AAGAAGAATAACTGAGAACAGGAAAGGGAGAACAGGAGTAAGCAAAGGAAGATAGGAATGGGCTCTTCAATTTACCAGCGGCAGATGGGCTCAAATAGGTGTGATCCACAGCACACGAGAGAGGAGGCAGCTTGGCCCTCCTTCCACGGTGTTCCTCACAAAGGGGACTGCCCATCTCTGCAGAAGAGTGAGGTCAAAGTTAAAATCTGAGACCCTTTTGAATGTTAAAGCCTCCTTTAAGAGGTGTGGCTCTTCCACAAATTCAGCATTGGGCATTTACCTACCTAAAACTTCCCTGGGCTTTCAGCTGCAGGTGGTATCTGCTGTTCCTTCTGAGTCACCAGGTTATGCGTGCTGGTAACCAGCTGCTCCCCTTCAGCCTGGGGCTGTGGCTGTTTCAGTGGTGCTGATGGGATGAACAGTGCTGCTGTTCATCAGGGGACCCCCCAGTCTGGAATACTTACCTAAACTCAAAGAGCTAATAATGTAACTAGTGGCCCCTTGAACAGGATCGGTCTGATCTCCCTCTTAACCAAGAAAGAATAAATGGCGGAGGGGTGTAGAAGTCCAAAGAGACTGTCCCTGTTCACAAACCCAGTCTGTTCTTCTCTGCAAACTTATTTGTGCTGGCTTCCAGCATGTTCCTGAGCAGAAAACACTGGAAATGGCTTCTACGTCTTATTTGTGTCAAACTGCAGCTGTACTTGGACAGCTTTTTAAAGTTTTGCTGAACTCCTTCAGGAGTTAAACTGAACCCAAAATAAATAATACTGCTTCAGGTCCCTGCTCCTGAATAGAAGTAATTTTAAAGCCTGTGTAAGGAAGCATCATTAACAAAGGATGACTTGAACCCACAAACGACTGTTTTTCTTCACATCCCAGCTGAGACATGATCCGATATGCAAGAAGGTCTTCAACAAGAAGCGCAAACCCTTCAGCTCTTTGAAACAGAGACTGCGGGGAACAGAAATCACCACTGTGAAGAAGCAGTCCCCGCAAAAGGTACAGTTAAAATTGAAGCATGTGTGTTACCTTCATATGAAGTCTTTTATTCAGTAGTGCTATTGTTTCCTCCGGGGACAAAGCCTGGATGTTGTGGATGAGTCTCACGTATGTGCTTGACTGGGTGCCAAATTCTTTCCTCCCCCTCCCTGTGCTGCTAGTGTTTGAGAATATTTCTCCGTTCAGTAGGTGTCATGACTACTCTGGGCACATAAGTGTCTCTGCTCTTCTAGGAAATGTTCATCTGTGTATTTTAAAGACTATACAAGTCTCTGGCTACTTCCTCTTCACTTAAATCTGAAAGAGAACGTGATCCAAGACAGTTGGTGCATGAATACCCCAGGTCGAACATGAGAGCTGTCAGTAGCCCCAAATCTATGGAGCTACGGAGATTCACTGCTATTGAACTCAAGGGTTTAAAAATGCATTTAAATCAAACTTATTTACAGAGCTGGAGGGGAAGAGGCTTAAGCTCTTACTGGAGCAATTTTTATTTTTTTTTAAGCATTGTTGGGGAGGAGGGGAATATGCACGGGCACACGTGTATAATTTTATCCAGAGATGCCAAATCACTACTGATTTGGTATCCATACAGACTGCCAATGTAAAATGTCTTTTAAAATTAGTTGTAAAAAGAAACAGAAGCGCACAAAGGTTTAAAGCAAGAAGAAGAATCTGACAAGTGGAGGAAAAGAGGAGGTGTTTGCCATAGTGTCTTTTCTATTCCCTCTTAAGCACCCTTTGGTCTGCCATGGCCACAGTGTTTTGTTGGAGGGCATTGTTCTTTTATCCATCTTCTGGTGCTGACAACAGACAGCAAAGGGCTAAATCAGCTTTCCTATGCCTTTCAAAAAAAGCACACTTTTGTTTGTAATGTTTTTTCTTTCCCTCAGAAAGGAAGAAGCCTCACTCTAAGATTTTTCTCTGTCCCTTTCAAGGGGGAAATAGAATTTGTGTCTTCATTTTTTTTCGATTACAGAAACAGCCAGAGAAGAAATCTAACTGGAAGCAGCACCATGAGGATTTTATTAATGCTATTCAATCAGCCAAGAAGGTCACAAAAGCTCTGAAGGAGGGCCGCCCTCTTCCACCTCCTCCCCCACCAAGCATCAATCCAGGTTTGTGGTCTACTTCATCTTGTTAATGTTCTTGTACTGATCTTTGGTAAAGCAGTCATCTCTTATCACCCATAGCTGGCGTTCAGTTTTGCACCCTCCAGCACAACACAACGTGAACATTAATTCCCTCTGTACTCTCTAATTTTCAGCTGTATTTCTTGGCTTAAATCAAGTAGGAGTGCGATGCAGAGGTGGTAGGAAGGAAGAGAAAACTAACTGTACCTTTGAAGATTAAAGGCAGCAAGTTTGGGGTCTTGATGTTAGACAGTGCTTTGGGAAGAGTATCAGGAGACCTGTGTAGTACAGCACAGGCTGTACTACAGGATAACAGAATGTGAAATACATCCCCTCAACATTCAAAACAACTGTAGTGCTCGCAGGCTTCCCCACTCCCATGTGGTGGCTTTCCACTGTTCCCTTCTCCTGTGTAGTTAGGGGATGTCGTTTAGAAAAAGGCCGGTCTGGTTTACTACCAATATCAAGTGTGGTCTCTGCACAGAGCTCACTTTGTTAGAAATTGCCATCCAAAAAGATGCACGTACAGCCAGTAGTTCTCACGACATGTGATTTATGAAACATGGGAGCGATCTTGGAAAGGGTCTCAGTGGAGTCCCGCCTGCGTTAGGAAGGCGGAGGGAGGGAGGGGGAAAGGGGGGGCTCTCTGGGCTCATTTCCAAAGCAGGAATTCGTGACTGATAGCAAAACCAGCTGCTGTGATTCCAGCCTTTCTGCTCTTCTAGATGACAGCGATGTGGTATAAGCAGCAGGACACATCTTCCTTCCTTGATTGGGGTCAAGCCCCTCTCTGAATTTCCACTGCTGAATTATTTAACGACTGTTATTTCTTGTTTGACGCTACTGAGCAGACCCCTCCCTTTCCTTCTCCCTCTTGGAGGAAACCAAGCTGTGCAAGAGCAGTGGCAGTTGTGGAGAAAGGAACTGGAGAACTGCTTTTTAGGAAAGACAAATTGCTGAGGGGCCTAGTGAGGATGTATATCCCGTACTACAGGACTGGAGAGAAAGCACATGGATTGTGGGGATGAGAGAGAGAGATGTTCCCTTTCCCTCTCTTCCTCCTCCAAACAGAGCCCAAAGCTCTCTGTTCTCCCCTGAAGCAGCAGGTCCCCCACCCAGGTCCCCCACCTCCGGGCATCTGCCCTGTCTCATCCTCTCCTCCTGTCTTCAGAACAATTTTGCCCACACTGTTGGTCTGGGGCTGGCTTTTGGGGGCTGCTTGGGCTGCCTTTCCTGGGTTGTTACTGGGAGAAATGATTTGTAAAGATGTTATATCTGTAATATATACAAGCATACTTGGGCTGCTTTTGTAAAAGGCACTGGGTGGGGAGGAAGAGTCTGAGGACAGCGAGGGCTGACGCCAAACACCAACCATTAATTTAAACAAGTGGGACTGCACCAGTGTTAAGTGTAGGTGAAGAGCTTTAAGCAGAATCAGGACTATAACCCTGTGAAAAACAACTCTAGGAAGCACCGCTGCGTGTTCTTCACAATGCTGCTTCACACCCAACAACCGGGCTCTTGGATGTGCCTCACCTGCTCGGGCACAACTTCTTAAGCAGTATTTTGTCAATGTCGAAAGGAAATGGGTTTTGTGAAAATGACTAACAATCTTAATGACCAGTCTTCAAAAGTAGTCTTAAAATCATTTGTTTAGACTACTTGAGGAATTTCTAAGTATCACTTCTTCTGCAGATATGTTAATTGTGAGGTTGGGGGTGGGAATAGGACAAAGATAATACAATCTGATTTTATTAATCCCCAGGGATTTATTTCTGAAAGCAATTACTGTTTCTTGGGTTAATACCGTAAGCATGTATTTTTGGATCCCAAGTGCTGTTCTAGAGGAGGTTTTTGTAGTTCTCCAAACTACTTTGGGATCTCATGGGGCCTCGCCATGGTCACCTGCTGATGGAGACAGGTTTTGAACTACATCTTGAGTGCTTCAGTAAAGCAGGGCAGATCTTCTCCTGTAGTGTATAAACTGTGACACAAGTTGTTCCTTTCTCATGATCAGACTATATTCAGTGTCCACACTGCTCACGAAGATTTAATGAGGCTGCAGCACAGAGGCACATAAAGTTTTGTGAAGAACAAGCTGCCCACCGTGCCTTCGCTGCAAAGACCACCAGACAGGCTTTGGTAAGCAAACACAGTCACACTTGTCTTGTCCTGGAGGCAGATTTGCCAAACTGTAGTTTAGGGTGAGTAAAGACCTATGTGAATATAAAACCTAAGACTCCAGGGAAGCTGTCAAATTCCTAAGACAAGACACATGCTGAACATCAGCTAGGAGTTCCCCAAAACTGGAGTCCTTTGTCTGATATCAAAAGGGACAGAATATGATAATACAAAAAAGTTGGACAACAATTTCTTCAGACTCTTCTGCAACTGGATTCCAAGGTAACAGCTGCAGGGAAGCAGAAACCTGGCAGCTTTTGCAATATATAGGAAAAGCTCTTCCTGTTCATTCGGGCTGCCTGCTGTTGGCAGGTTGGCTGTTCCCTGCAAATGGGTGGCTGATTTGCTCCCTGGTCACTAGACACAAGGCCAAAGGGCTGAGCCCCTTTGGGGAATCAGAAAAGTGGAGGTAATTGGCAGTGTCTTGAAGTGAGCTTCTATTTTATTATAGAAAAAAAAAATAATGTAAACAGTTCCTTTAGAAGAGTTGTTTTGGGTTGGTTTTTTTTAAAGATATTTGAAAGTCTTATTACTCTTTACCTGTTTGGGGCAGGAAAAATGGCTTCCAAGTGGGAAGGGGTGCACCTTTTTCCTGTTCCTTCCTAGCGCTGCTTCAGCAGCGATTTGGGGAGTTGTCACCAGGTTCTGTAAGCTCCTTGCTAGAGTTGAGTGTAGATTCTGCATCTTCTTTTACTAGGGCAAGCAACCAGTGACTCAGAGAAAACCCCCAACCTTAACAACTGCTGTGTTATCACTTCAGAAGAGAGTACAAGAAGGTGCCAATAAAGACAGACCTAGGCCAGGTAAGGAGTCCACTTAGCCATGTTTATGTTTTTCTTGTAACAAACTCTGATGTATTTGAGGTGGGGGGTGGCATTTTTAAAGCAGACCCTTGGCTTTGGAATCCATTTTTTTGATAGAATTATAAAATTGGGTTTTTTAAAATGTGGCTTTGGTGGTTTGGATTTTTTCGTTGGTTGGTTGGTTGGTTTGGGTTTTTTGGCAAGTCCAGGCCTTGACATGAAATCCTAAACTCATTTCTGTACATCACTTCTTAGAAATGAGAAGGGTCACAAATTTCCAAGTGGATGTTGTTGTTATTGAATGGCTTTCCAAGTCGTTATCCTGATCCATTGTACTGAGTGTATACACAAAGGTTTTTAAGTGTGTTCTCAGGAGGGGCTTCTTAGCCTTTTCAAATCGAGGTCCTCAAACAGAAGTGTATATAGACATCTAAAATACGCAGCCTGGGTGTGAGATTCCTTCTGTTCCATAAAGGACTCCATAACCTTTAATCTTTGATGTTACGATTTATTCCATCTTCTTTATCTTTTCTTAAGTCCATTTAGATGAAGCATCAAGCTTTGTACGTTGTTCATTCTATATGACTTTCCCCTTGTTGATTCAGCTTTAAAATTAACACCACCACATCCCTAAAACAGTTCCCTCTAAGCAGGATACCATATAATATGCTTGCTAGCACCCATTGCTACCAGTGATCATGACCCGTACTTAGTCTATGTTCAGAAAATGTTTTATCAAGTCATTTTAACGATTATTTGTAGTATAACCTGTGAATGATAATGCATACTGCTCTTTGTATCACTACCTTTGATCCCTACATTTCTGGGTTTTATGTTGAATTTATGTAGGTTATAATTTTTTATGGCCAATAAATATTTTAAATCATGATCTGCAGAGAACTCTCCAGGAACGCTGCAGAAAGCCAGAAAACCTTTGGGTGTATCTCCTGGAAAAAAATCTTCAGGAGAGTTTGGGTAAGAAATACATATGTATTTTTTCATTATTTCAACAGAATAACATGAAAGGACATCATTTGCTTTTGTGCATATATGATATCCTGTTGCAGAGTTTGCAGTATGAACTTCTTTGTATGAATGAAAGCAATCAATTGCACTGAAAATTTTTGCAGACCTCCTCATGTCCCCAGTACAGGCTGCTGAGAAGATTAATTTTGGTGCTAAATGTTCTTTGATTTGGAGCAGCTCCATCTCAAGTAGGCAGTGACTGTGTTCTGCCGCAACAGGCATCTTGAGAGGATTTGCTGCTTGATAACGCAAACCTCTCTAGCAGGTCTTGTGCTTTCATGATGTGCTTCTGTTGTCCAAGCGAGGAAGATGCCAGCATCCATTTCAGTCATCACTATGTCAGGATGATGGTGTGGAGGTTCTTCCTTCTCCTCAATGTTTACTTTCCCAGACCACGATGTTTGGTGCTCCTGCACTTCAGGCCATGCAATCAGAGTTGTTCCCATCTCAGGCCATGCAGAGCCATGTCAGAGCAGCCAGGCAGCCTTCCAGCCGCTGCTTAAGGTGGTTGTAGTGCTGTTGTATAAGGAGATGGCTCAGATGATCAGCATCTTGCACCCCTGCCAGACGCAAACCACTGTAGAAAATGAGATCCTGGCAGGGAATGTGGCCAAGACAGATTCCCTGTAGCTGGCAAGATATTTTGAGCCTGGGAGATGAGCTTGTAAGAATGCTTGGAGTGTGGCATGACGGATAATGTGCACAAAACAGTCTGTTGTGAGACTCACTGAAACATTTGAAGTCTACAGGATCCTCCTATGTGGAGTTTTTGCTGTCCTTGATTGCTGCTGGTACGTGGCTACCCACTTTCAACTGTGGGCAAGTCTGCAATGGGAAAGCTGGTGTTCAGTCTACGGTGCCATCATCAGCTCTATCTACCTCCTTTCTACCTCCTTGATTTTTCCAGCTACAGGAGAACCTGTTGATGGTACCCAGTGGTTTCATCTAGTGTCCTCCACTCCCTGGGTTGCCTATGCCTATGTTAACAGTGCAGTGACTCTTACGGTTATTGTGCAAGGTCTTGCAGATCACCAACAGGGATTTATTGATACCATCATGGTTCTCAAGGTATAGCCACCGAGCTCTAAAACTCGGGGCTTGGCGGGGGGAGACACCTCTTTTCCTTGGCATACTGGTGAGTCCAGCTACCACTGGGGTTGTAGTTGCAGCCAGTTCAGAGCGGCTTGGGACAGCCTGGGCCTCCAGCAGGTCCCTGAGACAGACATCCACACTAGCGTCTAAAATACAGAAGAGTGCCCTGCATGTCCCAGGGAACTGTGGAAGTGACTGGCCTGGGTGAGCCTGTAGTTGCCGGATTATTGGCAACTGCTGCGTTTTCTGTAAAATTTGAGCTTTGCCAGGTGCTTCACAGAGCACTTTGGACAAGTGAGAGATCAGCTTCAGTGCTACCCAAGCCTGCTTTTCAGCTGAGAAAGCAGACGTGAAAAACTGGCTTTGAGTGGTGCAAATAAATGTTCTCATCCTTAAAGTGTCTGGAAATGGTTTCCAGGATATGCTGCTCCATCACCTTCCCAGGGACCGAGGTTTAACCTTCTTAGGTAAAATGGAGTAAAATATAAAAGCTGTTTCTATGCAAATAACAAGTATATGGTTTGTTGCTGCTTTCAGACCGCAAATGCGCAACAGAAGATAGAGCGGCTGGTCAGCACGAATGTGTTAAGATTTTCTTGCAAAGCATTATGGAAGACCTTAAGCTACACAATTTTCCAGCACCTCTTCCACCCCAAGTACTACTGCTGTCACATTCAATAAAACAAGCAAACTGAAGTTCACTTTTTTTTTCTTTTTTTCCCCCCTTAGGCTATAAAGCTTTTTATGCTGTCCTTTCTAAAGCTGTGAGTTTATTCGTGTATCAGTTGCCAAAATTTAATTATCTGGTTGCCTAAAAGTAGATGGATGTGGTTCATTCAATGGTTTCGAGAAAATGTAGGAAGATCCAATATCGTGATTTTTATTTTTTTCCCCCTAATGCTTTGCTTTGATGTATTGAACAAGACAAATGAGCATTTTGGAATTTCGAGTATATATTTAATAGAATCTTCCATAAACAATAAATGATAAATGTTAGTGATTGGTAAGTGGCTGTGTACTGCTGTGCATCAGCTTCAAAGCACTTCAAGTTCAGAATAACTAAAACCAAATCTCATTCTCACATTAGAAACTTCAATTGCTTTTAGAAATTGATTGATAAGGCAGAAATGTTGTGGAGGCATATGCCTTCTTATTTTTTGGCCACCTGGCCTTGGATCACCCTGCATAAACCTTCAGTGTTGCTGTATGTTGGGTTGTTTGGGTTTTGTAAGCCCAACAGTTCCCAATAAGGCTTTCAATTAAAATCCATAAGGAATTTTCTTGGCTATTAAATGTTTACAAAGTAAATGAAGATGAAAAATAGTTGGACACAGCAATAATAAATACTGGACTTTACAGACTTTAATTAAACTCTACTTAGGCTCTGGTTAATAGGGATTAGATGTAGAAAGGCTGACACTGAAGCAAGTGTAACCCCTATAGCTGAACAGTCTTAGAAACAATGGGCATGAAATTAGCCAAAATACATAAAAGCAGTGCTTCTTGGCCTTTTTTTCAATCCAGGAAGAAAAATGTGTGTAACAGGCTGTCTTGTGCAATGTAATCACAGTTGTTTTCTTTTACACCTGAATAAATGAATCTTCAAAAGTTGAAGCAAGTTTTACCATGTTTGGAGTGTCTCCCACCCATTATTTCTGTGTGTAGAGCTGTTTGGTATCAATTCCACAGATCATTTCCCAGTGTCTTAGAGAAAATGTAACTATAGGGACAGGAACGGTGTATTGAAGATGATTTACTTTAACATTGTGCTAGCAGAAAATGAATCAATCATTAATATATAGAACTTGCCATCCTATTTCAGACTGGCTGTGAAAAAATTTTGGGAATTAACCATAACCCATTGGTTAAGAAAACAGAGTCCCAAAAGGACCAGTTACTAAATAAAACTGAAGGAAAAAAAAATGAACATGGTTCCTGATAGGGGATGGGAACTGAGCACTAGAAATAGTTGGGTTTTTTTACATAGAGGCGGCAGTCTTTTGTTCCATGTAGTATAATTTTAGCTCCTTATTTCAGGTTTACATGGCTTCCTTTTCTTTATAAAGTCAGTGCAAGTTTTTCTATGAGAGCAAATATGTACTAAATTTCTCTATTTTTTTATGGTATCATTTGATTATAGTAATTCTGTTGTTTAGTTGGCACGTATCACTCTGCTTCTACAGCTTTCCAAGCAGAGCTCAGAAAAAAAGAGTGTATTTGTTGCTACTACGATGTGAGGTAAGATATCCCTACATCCCCAAAGGGCCAGTGCTTGAACTGGGTCAGATTTCTTTTTTTCTGTCCCTTAGGTGCTATGCCATGGTCTATCCTACTTCCCCCACGCCACCTCTCTGCTCTTGCCGCCTCCTCTCCCATTTGGAGGAGGAATGGGCTATTCCAGAGAGGAGGGAGCACTGGCTGCTGGTGGGGCTGCCTTCCTCCTCCACCATACCCACAGCATGTGCCAGGCCACCTCTCCCCACTCTGGTGCTGTCACAGCCCTGCATGAGCGAAAGACAGCACCACCAGAGATGTCCGCCACCTCTTGCTACCTTCTCCACCGTCACTGGCTGAAGTCATGCCTGCCAGCCCCATCCTCGCGGACACCACAGGTAAGCTCAGGCGAGGACTTGCTGCCATCTCTCCACGCCTCTCTTTTAGCTCTGCCTTGCCTGTGACCCGAACCCCACCAGAACCAAACTACCGCCCTTTTAGAAATACGATATTCAGGCCCACACCAAGCAGGTCTACTGAATCTGAAGAATTTGTTTGCCCAGAAAAAAAGTATTCATGAGCCTCAGCTACTGATGGCCTCTCAAAAATGCTCACAAAAGCTTCCCTAACAAAACCCATGAGAAAGTCCAGCCCTACACTATGTATTAGATGACTTGGGGGTATCTCCTGAGTTGTGAGAATTTTAAAACAAAACTACTTTTCTGCAAACATGACCTTTTGAAATAATTTGCCTTCCTTTGTGATGGGACATCATCAGCTTCCTCTACATTTATGACAAGCATCTGGAAAAAGAAATTTGAATGGACCGAAGGGCAAAAGCTACAGTATTACACATTCAGTGTGTGTTTTATTTGTAGATGCCATCATTGTGTGCTTTTTAAGCGTTTTAACATCAAAAGTGGCTCTTTTACTTGAATGAGACTCAGTCTTTAACCTGTAGTTACACACGATAAGCATCTCTCGCCAACGCATCTTTCCAGGTTTCAGAAGAAGCTGAGGTCAGGCAGCAGCACCCCTCTCGGCCGCTCAGAGCTCAGGCACCCTGCTACAGTCGAGCAGCTCAGACAGCGCTGGGCATTCGTCTAGCTCTGTGTTTGCATAACATTTTCTTCTTAACATCACGTTTTAATTCAAAGACATGTATTTCAGTAAAAAAATGTCTATTAACAGTATATGATCAGGCAGTGCTACAAAATTTCTGAGTTTTTTTGTTTTTTGTCCTTTTTCTTTTTTTACAAGTACATACGTTTGGATGAAGCCAAGTGAATACAATTTACACGAAGAAAGAAAACAATGAAGTAAGTGAATATACACACCCCTTTCCAAGTCCGGATATGAAAATACGAGCCTAGCTGTAGAATGTGCATATAACATTGTTTGCAACCTCTTCCCTATTCTGGAACTCATAATTTAAATAACTGCTAACTGGGCATGACTGTGCAGTACCTGCCGTTGTCATTACAAGAATATTGAAATTCCTTCTGGTTTACCTTATGCCAAAAAAATTCATAACAAAAAATACCCCTCAACAGTGTATCTGAAGAACATATTCTTGCATGAACTACAATACAACAACCTTTCCTTAATCTAAGCACTGATAAACCTGTAAGAATATTCAGATCATTGTAGTTGTACAGCATCATTGTAGTTCATTAACAGCAAAACAGCAATCATTTAAAAAATATTTTTTATTTGAAGGCGTCTGGAAATATTCCTGTGATTAATGGGGGATAAGAGAACATGATCACTCAGGGTTTGAGAATTTACTCAGATTCAGAAAGCCTGTGTCTGTTTCAGCTGCAACAGGATCCATTAGTAATTGCATCCTCCACTAAAACCAGGAGTATTTTTTACAGGTTAGGCAAGAAAGTAGATTGTGAAGAATTCAGGTGGGTTTTTTTTTTTAATAATGTCATCTACTGGGAGATGTGATTTTTGCAATTTCTGCTAGTTCATGCATTGGGTGATATGACTGTCGTACCAACACACCATCAACTGGAAACGTACATGGACACTTCACCCCAGGAAACAAACAAAAGTCCCCTTGGTTCTGGTTCGGAAGAAACAAAGGCTGGAAGGTCCACTGCAGCCATCCCAGTGCTACTGAGCAAAACCCCTGTGATTGAAATGGCCTCAATTGCACCCGTTAATTTCAGGCGACGTTTGTGAGGCTGGTTCATAACCTGGTTTTTAACAGGGCCAAGCGTGAGCTCACCACCCCACCCTTTTGCGCAATGACTTGCTCCCCCAGAAATCCTGCTTGGCTGCAGGCTGCCTGCCCAGGGTTGGCTTTCCATGAAGGAAATTTCCCAGTAATTTTCCAGACTGAACAAAGGCCATTTTTATCAACCAAAGGTGAATAAAGGCCCTTCAGGTAGGAAGCATTAGTTCTTATTGAGTGTTAAATCAATCAAGCTGCTGACCCAATGGGATAACGTATGCTTAAATTTAAGTAAATGCTGAAGTGCTTTAGTAGAGAAAGACCAGTGCTTATACCTTGCTCTAACCTTTGAGACAATTCACTTCCCATTCTGAAAACTGCACATATACAAGACATCGGTTCTCACACAGTCATGCAGAAGTGGGAATTATTTCCAGCCCTAGGAAAAAATGCAGGAGATGCACACAGCTGAAATGATCTTCTTCACTTAAAAAAGTGGAACAAGGAGGTAAGATTTACTCTTGGAATGATTCCAATTTGAATTAAAGATTCCTAAAGTTCAGTAATTAAGTGCTTAACAGAAATCTATGTAATGCTGAGAAATCGTTTGTTACATTTGCCATGTGCATAAATTTGCTGTGATTTATGGTTCATTAAAATGATTTTTCTGTGATTTCCCCCTTCTTCCCATTCATCCTAATCCTATTTCTCCTACCGCAGCAGCCAGAGTTTTATTGTGCCTGTTATGATGCTTTGCTATCATTGAAGATATTTATTCAGTTGTTTGCATGAAAGGTAAGAAACAAAAATATAGAAGATGTTGAGGGAAATAGGTTAGTTCTACTATTGTCATATGCTAAAAAACTAATAGTAGTATGAAAAATAGAGCTTCTTTTTTATTAACATCCTGAATTTAACTACCATGTTCATAACATGCTGTGAAAACATTTGGGGCAGTTTTTCTTAAAAAGAAAACATAACCAAACCAAAACCACCCCATCCTAACAGATTTAAGTAAGAAGCACAGTCTTAAAAAAAGAAGAAAAAAAAAAAACAAACACGGTGATAGTTATTTGAAGGCATGGTGAAAATGAGGCAACGTTACAGAATTTGTAGTGGATGGAAAGGAGCGAGGAAGATGGTGCAGCTGGTTTATGGCCATCCCACCAGTTGCTAGCTGAAGACCTTGCTGTTGGCCAAGGCCATTCAGCCTGTGTGATGGTTCCTCTGAACCAAATGCCATTGTGATGTCCCCAGTAGTATTCTGGTTGTCACCTGGTGGGAGCTGCCAGAAACTCATCACATGAGTGAGATCCATGAAAGGCAGGTTTGTAGTTTCAGCTGCTGCCTCTGTCTCCTTGTGTACTGGGTATTTGTTAGTATCCCCTACAGGCCCTGAGGAAGCTTCTTCCAGACTGATTTTGTGGAGAGATTGAGGTTCTGGTAACGGCAGGTCCTCAAGAAGATGCACATTGTAACCTTTAACATCCACTTTTATCGGTAGATTCTTGAGGGATCCTGCTGCAAATGAGGTAGAACTAAGGTCATATTTATTAGGCTGATGTAGGTTCAGGTTGGCAGGAATGGCTGTTGAGCACGGTGTGGGATGGACAGCTGGAAGGCTGTCTGCACAGCCCATCCTTTGCAAATGAGGAGAAGGTTCAAGGGGAAGAGCAGTTTGTAAGCTTGGCTGGGAATGAAGATGTGAACAGTTGTATTCCTCTGATTCTGAACTACTCAAAATCCCATTCTGCACAGAGATCCTTTCAGGAAAAGGGGACAGTATGCCGGCATCTTCCTTCAGTCTGAATGGAAAAAGCTGGTCAAGGAGACCCACTGAGTCACCGTTCTGTAACCTGCTCTTCAGCAGTTCTTGTGGATGAGTCTTCCTCGTATGGCGAGTCAAGTGGTCCTTCCGCCCAAACCTCTGGGCACAAAACTGGCATAGAAAGTCTTTGCAGCCTGTGTGAACTACCATGTGACGCCGCACATCTTTACGGGTGTAGAAGTGACGCTCACAGTGGTCACACTTATGCTTCTTTTCCTTGGTATTACCAGTTGGTTTCCCTGCATGGCTTTTGAGGTGTTCCAACAAAACTTCAGTACCGCCAAACTCCTGGGCACATACCCTACAGGTAAGGTCCCCACTGGTGGCCGCATGAAGAGCCAAGTGTCTCTTATAGCCTAGCTTGGTGTTGTACTTCTTGCCACACTCTTCACACTTGAAGGCCATCTTGTTAGGGTCATGAGTCTGAAGGTGATTCTTTAGATGGTCTTTCCTGTGAAAGGTTTTTTCACAGTAGCCACACTGGTGAGATTTCTGTGGAGAATGAGTGGCTGAATGCCTAAGAAACAAAAAAAAGAAAACAGTTCTTTGCATTTACATTCACTCTAGTACACAGTGCAGCTTCAAGACTTGAAAAAACTGGCACTTTTGAAAGAAGGCATTTTCACAAGTTCTCAGATTATTAGTGAAAGCCTAACTTTTTTGGGGGGGAAGGTGTTAATCATAAAGCATACAATAGGTTAAAACTGCTCACCATAATCTTTTTGAGTAGCCACCGCAATTGAGGGAGACTAATTTTCTCCAATTCTACCAAAACAGGAATAATAAAAACTGGAGCTTGGGGATTAACTGTCACTAGGACACTCGAGGAAAAAAAAAAAAGTCCTTGTTTTTTCCTCCCCACACCCACCAGAAAAGGAGTGCCTTCAGAGGTGTACCTGAGCAGTTTATATTTGGAAATGAAGGCTTTTGTGCATCCGTGCTGTGAACACTTGTAGGGACGCTCCCCTTTGTGTGCGTAAGTGTGGACTGTAAGCTTGTCAATTGAATCAAATATCTTCCCACAGAGTCGGCACGGGTAACTGTCTGTCTGCTTCACTTCTTTTCCCTTCAACAGTGAAGACCGGCCATTTCTCCATTTAGGTATAAACCTCACAAGACCATCACAAGTGCTGCCTGAGCTGGCACAGCTAAGCTTTGCAGCAGAGGAACAGGAAATCGTCCCGTAGCACTGGGCAATGCTTTTGCCTAATGTCGTTCCTCTCAGTTTCCCTTTGAGTTTGCTTTTTGCCTTTACAGGTCCCAATTTATTTGGTGGTCTGAACCTGGTGGTAAGAACTCGGTCTTTGTGGATGCACTGGTGAGATTCTAGCAGAGCAAAAGTTGCAAAAGTGCTTCTACAGCTGGAGCATATCCAAGGGTCTACGGGCTCTTTCTGCAATGAGAACAGAAACAGGTATTTCTTAATAGCCATTCTAAGGAAAGGTCGTGTTCTTCTCACTGACTCTACATCTTCTCCTGGGCTTTCCCAAGACCTGTCATTGTCCCTAGCGATATTTACTTCAATGTAGTACCATACAGCTATTCGTCTAGAAATGGATTCTCTCTAGGACTCCACAAACTAGAAGGAAAAAATATTGTTGGCTAAATACTGATTTCCATGGTTTTGTTGAGCATTTACTGTAACAGTCCCCAGTCCTTCACCTTTGTTTATCTGTGCTTACGGAATTTCAAAGTCTCTACATTTGTTCCTTTTATGGAATTAATCATAAAAGCAGTTTCAAATTGTACTTTATCCTTAGACTGACATAATTTATCTGCCACTGCAACCACACAAAAATTGCACGGGTTTCTGCACATAAATGTAGTTTAGCCATACAGGATTTCCTTATGTTTTGGGCTGACTCCATATTTTACCAGACGGTAATGGTTAATGCCTTAAGGGGAGACTTCCTCACTTAGCTTGACATTTGGCATTAGACTTTCTTAAACTTGATACAAAACACCTGACTGTTGGGGATCTCCAGCCTATCCTGACTTAGAGGCATTAAACCATAAGTTTTTTAGCAAGCAATACATTATTTGGAAGTGTTATTTCAGTGGAAATAAGAACTCTTACTGGATTTGGTTGAATTCACTTTAAATATCAACATTTTAAAAATTCCAATGAGAAACAATTACAAAAAAATCCCAGTCACTGATGAAACGTACTTCCAATTAATACACAACCATCCACTTCCTTAGCTGTCTCTGTATTTTACTTCAGCTTCTCATAAACTGTCCTTACTTTCCCTTGCTCTTGGGCTAGCTTGCTCCAGAGACCATGGCGAGGCTATGTCCACTCTGTCTTTATTTACAGACAGAGCCCTCCTCTACCTTATCTGTGTCCGATGCTGTGGCCCTCCCACCCATTCTTTCTGGGGTATACTCTAAAGCCCTCACATGCAAATGCAACAATGGGGTTACTTCCCTTCCTGGAGCACCTCTGAATTCCTGGTTCTATCATATTCCCTGTTTAACATTTCCTTCTGGTGTAGGTATCAATCTTCACAGTCATGTTTTCAACATATACAAACTTTTCCTATCAGTTTAAGGATTCCTGTTATACAGAGGGGAAGGTACTGGGATTAGACGAAAAGGGTTATTGCACAGGAAAGACTGAAATAATCAGTGTGTTATCTGATCAACCACTCGGAGCCTAACAAAGAGGAGCTAGAGAAGGAAGTCTGAGGAAGACAGTTTGGTTATCTACAAATTAATGCCAATCTTAAGTCGTTCTAACACATCCCACTAGTGCCACTTACTTCTGGCTATATCTAATGGCTCCATTGGATTGAAAACACAGGAGAGGAAGAGCAGCCTTTCTCTGAGTAGCTGTTTGGTTAAAATTGCTCTTGGCTTTGCGTTAGCCTACTACTCTATGGTCTCCTCTAGCATCACCAGAGTTACATAAACAGAGAAAGCATGTAAATTGTAATTTACTATGTCTGGTGATGGCTTGAATGCATATTAGGGGTACTTACTGCTACTGAAGGCAAAGGACAGACATCCGATTCTTCTTTAATGAAGACTGCAGAAGCTTCCATAAATTTGGCATAATCGGCAGCATACCATACTTTCAATTCTGTGTGGGGTTCAATTGGCTGCGAATGGAAGAAAATAGCACATGTTTACTTTTGCCAGTTTTCCCTATACCAAATAATACTGAAGATCGGAGGGGGGTGCATGTGCAATTTGTCTCCTTATCCAAGTTGCATTCTTTGAATCTGTTTAAATTATTGGTAACATAGTTTGACAACTGAAGCACTTTTTGAGCCTTACTACCCACTAGGCTTTGACACCTTCAGTGTTTCTGAAAGCAGAAATGCACATGTACAGAGACTTTTGGGGGACAGTAGCAGGATGAGTGCCTCAGCTTTCATGACCTTTGCTCAGTGAGATCTCTTCCTCTGTGATATCCAGACATCCAGCAGTCTTCCCAAGCAATATTCCATGCCTATTCCTCCATGTTTCAGAAGCCCAATGAACACAACACTTAGCTATAAGGTACAGGCAAAGGAAAAACGCATTGTGAATGCACAACAGTTTGAATGCCTCCTGGATGTGCTGCACTCGCAGAGCATGGGTGCAGAGTTGATAAATATGTGGACTGCAAGTCAAACTTGCACGTTTCCACATGCTGGCTATAATGTGTCAGGCTTGTTATGCATTTGCTTTATTGTACCTCTGTCCTCCTTTCACTGAAGCCTTCCCACACAGTAGTACAGGAGCCCATTATCTGCAGTCTCCCATCCAGTCATGCCTGCCCAAATCTTTCCTTGGACTGGACTATGACCTCCTCTGACAAATATTTTCAGTCAATAATACAGCAAATAGAAAGAGAGGAGTGATTACAGTCTCTGGTTAAACATCCATTAGATATTTAAAAGCAAAGGAGAAAACTAACTTTGGGGTCATGATTTAGGAGATTCCCTGGCCCTGTACACAATTTTCTTCATCTGTAATAAAAACCAACGTTGCTGCAACAAGGGTAGAGCCAATCTGCACTGTACTTGCAGTTTTATTTAAACTAAACTAAACTAAATGCATGCTACTAAAAAGAACAAACTAGCCTGGAAGGAGAACAGCTGAGCCTTATTCCACAAAATGTGACATCTTAAAATGTACCTATTTTTTAACATCGGTGTTGGATAAACATGATAGGTGAAAGACAACTTAGATTGTGAATGCTGACAGGTGGCAGGTAATTGTATGTATAATGTTGAAAACTGAACTTTTGAACTCCCAAGCACAAGCCTGCTTGCTAACTACAACCAGTATGGGTTGGTTGTACATTTTGATAACACCTGGCCTAAACAGAAATGGTACGTGCTGAATTCTCCACTCAGTAAAGGACATGAAGCAGAGCCACCACGTAGGAGGCCAATCATATTTGTCCTCCTGCATATAGTCTATTTAGACGGAGAAAACTGAACCTAGGGAAGCTCCACAGAGACAACTGCCTGGAGATGCCCTGGGACCTTGGCCAGTGACACCTGAGACTGGTACCCGCAAACAGCTGCACAGCATGATACTGTGCTGACTTTCCTCCTGACAGTCCTGGACCAGCAGCGATCTACTCTGTGGGAAGATGAGACCTAGTCAATGTGACTTTGGAGGGAGAGCAAAGTGCATCAGTGTGAAAAATAGTCAAGTAAGGTAAAAGCTCTAATCTCAGTAAAACTGACATTAAACACCAGTTTTGAAATCCACTACAAGTTGTCCTTTACTCTGTCTCACCTGTGACAATAAGAGAAAGCTATGGCAGCACCCACGTGAAACTCTCCTGTGATCAGACAGGCAGCAACCATGGATGATTTTTACTTTGTCATAGTTCTATACTTTTTTAAAGCACTGCAGTCATTAGGTCAGCAAGTATGCTAACAGGGCTATTAGTATGCCACTTACATGTATGCTTTTGTAGCTGCAGTTTCCCGACACCGAAATCCCATCTCTTTGTAAAAACTGTGGGGAGAGGAGCCAATCCTTCTACTCCCAACTTTACAGACTTTATTCAAAGTATCTTGAGAAAGTATCTTCATAATCGACCCCAAGGCAGTCTCATGCCGTGGCCAGCAGGGTGTGCCTAAGTGAAGCAAAAGGCTATCACTTCTGCTGACCAGGACAAAACCTGCAGGATGCCACAGTACCGTGAATGATTCTGGGACTTAGGAGAAATAAAACCAAAGTAATTCCCTATGATACACAGCACAGTAAAGGTTCCAAGACACGTTCCTCATCCTAAGATACTCTTCATGTCAGTATACAGGATGAAACTCTCCACTAATGCCAATAAGCAGAGTTCTACTGAAGTCAGCAGAGAGCTGGTTCAATAGTATTTAAATTATACTGGAAATCGTAAGTTACCAATTCATAACTACAACTTCTTAGAAAAGCAGTTCATGGTACCCAAATACAGTATTATTGTCAGTTCTACAAGTATAGCATGCATTTAAAATCAAATTGAAATCCCAAATGGTATAGACTGCATCAGAATTTCAAACACAGCCTAAACAATGTCTCAGATTAGCATATACTGTTTTACATTGTTTTTCTTTAAAATAGTTATTTTAATATTAATCAAAAAGCAACTATACTTCATACTGTTATAAAAGAGTTTTAAGCTGTAAAATGTTATCACTATTAACTTATTCTTACATCATCACTGCCATAAATATTTTTCTCACCATGAAGGTGGAGAAAAAAAAACAGAGGAACAAAAGTAAACACTACTATCCCACAGAAACGCATGCTAATCTTGGAAATGAAACTGAAATGCTGTATTTTAATCCCACAGTAACTTCTTTTGACTAATATTTTCTCTTTCTTTAATTTTTATTGTTGCTTACAATGACATACAAACATTAACTTAAGAATAAAAAAGATAAACGACAAATGTTTGACATATAGACTTTGGTTTCCTAACTATACAAAAGAGTAAATTCTGATTAAAACAAGCTTTGCCTGAGAAAGTGGCCAAAACAACAACAAAAAAAGACTGTGTGTTCCAGTGTCATTTATAAATACAGAGTACTTTGTTCTCTCTCCTCAGACAAAGATGCAGCCCAGAATCTCTAACATAAACTGACCACTTCATGGCAACATTGCAGTATTTTAAGTTCTGCAGTTAAGTCTTCAAATTTAATGAGAGCTGAAAAAAGTACATAAAGATTATACTTAGCACCCTGCTCCTGAGCACCTGGTAATGTGCTCAGAATACGACGCGTGTCCAAAAATGTAATAAAGGAAAGGAATGTGTGTGTTCTTTCCAGGATGAAGTACTGTTCAATGTAATAGTGCTAGATAATCTCACCATATATCTATCTGGAACTGAAGAACTCTACACCATCCATGTTTAAACGCTGCCATCATCAATGATATTTTTGTTTCCCTCTGCACAGTTTCTTCCCTACCCACAACAGCAAGTACACACTGCCTTTTACTGGAAAACCCCATACACTGCTTGCTTTACTATGGATTAAGTGATACAAAAGGTGGTGCGTAATAAAGATCCAGCTGGCAGAAAATAATCAATCTTCCATCTGTAAAAGGCTTGGCCTTTCAGAACCTTTGCCTATAAATTTCCATTTGGATGACAGGTGAAGCAATGTGGGTTTGACTACCTTAACAGTTGTGAAGTAGACTTCTCCACAGTGCTGATAAGCCACAAGGGTCTGTTCTTCTTGGTTCCGGGCTAGCCGGACAAACATCATCCAGTTTCCACAGTCTTCATTGGGAGTGTCCAGAAAGTACTTCCCTCCATCTTTCAATACCTGAAACAAAGGGGGAGGACAGGAGAAAGAACATGATAAAACCAAGTCCTGTATAGAGGCACATTAGTTTTCTTTAACTTGTAATCATGGCTATCAGTTATTTACCCCGTCTTGGTCATATGTCCCTTGAAATTGTGGTTGTTCTGAAATAGATCACTCTTAAAGAATACTGAGTGCAAAAGAAAGTGAAGAACGAATACCTGCTGAGGCACCCACCTACTAAAATAACTGTAGGCCTTTGTACGTATTTCCAGTGTATAGTTCATAATTTTTAAGTTATATAAAGATAATATTATAAGAACTAAGTGCAGGCAGGTAGAAAGATAAGCTTTATGCCTTAATGTACTTCCTGAGTACTTGATAATCTCCAACTTTAGTGCTGTATTAACGCTACGGTTTGCATGGAACAATTGTGTAACTTGTGTAATAAGTCCAGAGAGGTAACATACAATATAATGGCATTTTAACAGTCTTCTCTTTTTCCTGTTAACAATGCAAAAGTAAATACAAATGAACAATTGTGCCACAAAGATCTTTCTTTTTGCTTTACTTCATTCTTCCTAGATTCCTTTCCAAGAGAAAGCCTCTACGAGGCAAACACTCCTGACCTCATACAAGACAGTTGCTTTTCTGCAATACAGTCTCAAACATGGATAACTGAAGCTGCACGACAGATGTCAACGCAGCATGTACCTGTTCTACTAAACCATGTAAGTGAGCAATTAATTGCAAAAAAAAAGTTGCATTTCCATTGCTTCTGGGAACTACTTTATCTAACTTTGTCCTGTTTCCAGTAAAAACACCTGCCTCTTGGACAGGTTTGGTCACATACTCAGAATGCTGCTAGGGGGAAGTCAAGGCAGCTACTGCTGTCATGTACGAAACCTGGGACTCGTCTCCTCTTCTGAAGAAACGGTCCATTCATCATTGAGAGCTCTGCTTATCACTGTATACTTTTAAGCAAACAGGGTTGACTGATAGAGGATAGGGTGTGGTTTACAATGGCTTGGTGAAGAGGAAGGAACTGGGTGCTTAGCTCATCCATGTTTGCAAGCTTGTTAGAGAAGTATGTTTCTGCATTTGTAAGAATTAAAGTGTCTCATAAAAAGATGGAAGAAATCTAGTTACAGAGAAGAACAAATCCTCTCTGGTGCCAATGAAAAATACCATGAAAATTCCACAGAAGGACAGTGTTACTTTCCTGGCAGACCGCTCACATGACTTCTACGAGCAAATGAAGTTCACAGCAATTACTGAAGCTATTACTTTTGCTCTCAAACAGAATTACAGAAGTATTTCTATCTATGCCTTCCCCCACAACACACAGTGCTTCCCAGTCTCAAGCTTCTGGAGAAAGCTCAAATGAAGACATAAAGCGTGTCACAGGACAGCTGCTGCTGGTCCCTCTCTCCTGGGGGGTGAGAGGGCCTGATAGGAAATGTAGGCTCTGGAAGAATGGTGACCTGTCGGGAAGCCCTGACAGAGGTTGTGGCTTGACCACAGACTTGCTGTATGATGGAGAGGTGTGCCCAGGGATGACCCCATGCAGCAAAATGCAAAGACCAGGGTGTAGAGGATTATGATCAACTATCACTCCCACGGAATTCCTGTGGGAAAGGATGGGCATGCAGATATGTCTAAGCTAGGTTAGTCCTGAGAGGCCACTATTTGTGCTGGATAAAGTACAAACAACAGTATCACGGTCCAGATGAAACCATCAGTATCTGCGCATGCTGCAAGGGATGGTACCAGCCCTAAATAACAATCTAACTAAACAAACTGAGTTAGTGCACTGTGTGTCATAGTTTAGATATAATCATATCATTAAGAAGCATTTCCCCATCCCTGCACTGTTGGTGCCTTAGTGCTTATTTCTGCCACTATTGCTAACTCAGTGCACAAACTTAACCCTCCCAGTGGCAATGTGTTAAGCACAAATCCTTTTGTTTTATCTCGGAAGACAGTACTATCCTTGGATGCTTTCAGTAGTCGTGCTCTGTAAAAAGTTTATCAAGAGCTGTTAGTCTGACAGGTAAATCACCCTGGAAGTGGTGAAACTAGAAAGCAGGAAAGTAAACTTGTAGAAAACACAATATACAGGAACATTATGGTACTTCAGGTTACTCTCTGCTGTCTAATAATGTGATTTCCATTCATACATACAGATGAGAAGTACAATTAATTAACTAGATCAGACAGCATATTGACTGGTTAAAATAGATAAATACATATGAACTGTTAAAGGCACATAAGTCACTGGGGTTTTACCTGCAGGACTAGCCTGCTCTCATCATAGCGGGTCAGTTTTGTAGACAGTTGACCAACATAAGGACCAAACTGTGTTCTCTTCTGTATTACTTTCTTTGCAAAGACTCCAAGGACTGTGAATAAAAAAAGACCAGTCTAATATTAATATAGACACCACAAACTATTTCTTGCGTATTTACAGTTGTGAAAATGGAGATAAACACATACACGTGAATTCTTCTTCTAGACAAATAACCCAGGTAAATAATTCTAACAGGAAGAACCTAAAAAGGATGTAAATATGTACAGAGATTTTTTAAAAATGGGTATTACATTGAATGCAAAAGCGCCTAAAATCCATGACAGGGTATTAACTGAGTATGCAACACAAATGTGTTGATACTCTGCAATCTACAAGCTGATGTTATCATAGTGCTCTGCTTGTTCGCATAATTTATGAGGTTGTTCTCTCCCAATATGAGTGGAGAGAATCTATAAAAACACAACATTAGCTGTCTTAATCATTCTAGTTATTTCCCTGCCTAATACCAATGGTGCGACACAATAGGCATCTTGTCATTCTCGTTCTGAAATGCAATATAGGCAGGACTGATTTTACACAGGTAGCTGTGGAAAATTCACACACTAAGGATGTAGTTCCCTTGTTCAAGCTTGGGCATTCAAACTGCCCTGCCCTCGGAAGGAAACAACAGTCTTTGCATAATATGAACTGAAGATGCTGCAAAAGGTAAATTAACACACTCTTTTGTGTGTTCTTTTGAGTTTGCAGGCAGTGGGTGAGGGATCTTATTTACCGCTTTGTTTCTGACCTCTTATTGAATACTCTTTCCTGTTTTGCATGCTTGGGGAAAAGAAAAAAATACGTAATAGTGCATGGCTGTTACTATTAGATACAAATTCAACATTCTTTAAACTTGTATTGACTGAACAGAGCTAACTGATTGCTCACAGCTAAATGTCACACCAGCTCTGGCTAATGTCCTGCCATCAGTCTATGCATTGAGGTTACTAGAAATCAGTCATAAAAAACAGTAGCTGAATGTGAGCTTTATCTGTGCTCAGCTGAAAATAAAGTAGTCTTCATACTGTTAATACCCTATGATTATGCCTTCAGTTATTTATGAAAACAAGCTAGTGTTAGTACTTTTGTCTCCTCTTTCTCAAATGTGGGAAAAAGAGCTAAAATACTTACTCTGCTGGTTTCCCGCTCGCAGCTCCAACACTCGCAAAGTGAGGTAATGAGGTAGGGTGAGACGGGCTCGGCTAGGAATAACCCTATCTTTAGCCCTGATGAGTGGTCCATGGAGTTTGCATTCTCCTATAAGGCTTTTACCGCAGTCCTCACACCCTACAAACCCAGAAAAGGGAACCTGTTACTAAAAATGACATACTGCTCTCCAGTTTAGTCTCTTCTAATTTTGTCACCTTGAAAACACATCTTGAATTACCAATGCTTTTCTTCACAGCATTGTTCTACATTAGGGAGTGAAAAGATTATCTGCAACCCAAAACTGAACTAGGTTTGAAAGAAGACCTCCAGTTTGTGCATTCTCTCCTGTGCGAACTGGTGGGTCCTGACATCCAAAGATTTATACTCCTGTTCATTTGGAGGTGTCACAAACCGTGCCTTTGAAGAGTAGGATGGCAGAAAAACTGGAGCTTGCAGCACGCACACCTAAAAATCAAGATGCATGTATTTATACAGAAATGAGAAGGGCAAAGTTGCTAGTAATAACCAAGGTAATATGCAGAGATCCAAGGAGTCCAAGAAAGATCACTACGAGTCTGCACAGAGCACTCTCAGTAGAAGACAAGACCCTCGGTGTACCATGAAAAATGAGTACGATGGGTCTTACAGTCACAACTCTGTTGACAAACACGTAAGGGCAGCCTTCATAAAGACTGTGCTGCCTGGGGAAGTAAGCAAAAGGGGCACGCTGCATCTCCCAGGCATCGGTTCACAACAATGACATCTGCAGGCTGAACACACGAGGCATCCAGAGAAGTCATTAATGAGAAATACATGCCTGCAAACTGACTTTCACCCAGCACAGTGAGGTATTTTTGGTTCAGTGTAGCTCAAATTGGTTGCCAGGGAAACTCATATGGAGCAGTAACACAACTGAGCAATGAGACTCTCCAGCAGAAGGTCATCCCGGCACTGGTGTCACACAGGGCGATGGGAAAAATGGGACTGCTTGCACAAAACCTTTTTATAGCCAGTAGAAACCAAACCAGTGAGTCAACAACACTTTAAGACTGAGTTAAAAGCAAAAGCTGATATTGGTCATCCATGACTACCTTGTTTTGTTTTACTTCTGAAAACTCCACTGAGCAAGTCTATTCAGTAAGCAACAGTAAGGAGCAGAGGAGGGGAGTCAGAACAGCCAAGACAGTCCAAGGGAGCCACAGGACACTGTAGCAGAGACTGGGGCAGGAGAAGCGAGGCTTCACCACAGACAGGGGCTCGTAGCCAAAGAGAGGTCAAGAGAAGCGTAAGGGCTCAGGAGAGACATCGGTGATGGTCTTTGAGAAAGGACAGTAGTACCATAAATGCCATATTCAGGGTAGCTCTAAAAGGTTTCAGTTTGTAAGGTGCTTGACTAAATTACACACCGAGAGTCTAGTCCAAAATCTCCCCAATTAAGCCTGCAGTATTCCTACTGAGTTCTTTGGGGTCTCCACCAACTCTAAAGAAGGAGGTAGACTTGCGTGTTGGTCAGGCTGCGGGCACTGCAGTAGTCCATATTTTTCAATAATTTCGGGACCATGTAATAGTTTTCTTCAGCCATGGCTCCCAGACTGCACACCTGCATTATGAATAGCTGAAATACAGGATTATTTTTGCTAGCGCTACAGATAAAGAACATGCCATTCTACAGCCATCACTTAAAATGCACAAAAAATAAATAATACAGCTGCAAGGCAGATTTTTCTTGTTACACGCCATTTTATGTATCTGAAAGTCCTCTACAGCTAGGCTGCAAGAAAAAAAAAAATTTTCTAAGGTGATTTAACTTATTTGGCTTTTAAATAAATTGCCAACAATCTATGTCTTCTGAGGGCAACAAAATTATGAGGGCTTCCTGAGCTTACCTAGAATAATAGAGACTTTGTCTCAAGTCAAACAGCTCCTGCTTGGAGAGCCATTGTATGCAAACTGCCGAAAAACACTACCGAAAGCAAAATGGGGACAAAGAACCACAGTTAGAGGGAGGATGTATCTAATCGTAAAGTACACGACCTTATCAATCCATGCCATGCCTCTGTGATTCATCACTACCGAGCTCCTGAGTAAACCTTCCCGCCGCCCCGGGGTAGTGCCCGACGTGGAGGCCCCAGGGTGGGCAGTTCACGGGAAGGTTGGAAAGGGAAAGCAGCGAAAAAGGGTCTCCCTTACATCGGCCTCCAAAGTTGGCACTAGTGCCCCTTTAGCTAACCTGCCTTGGTCCTCTGGATCCAAGACGTAAGGTCTGAAATGATTCCTGTGCTGTGGGAGCTGGAGAGGCACTCCTCCAAAATCAGGGACCGCTTTGCATCCTAACAGGTACCGAGCATGCCACTGAGCCTAGCAGCCCCAGCGACGGCTCCCCAGGTGGCACACCTTACTGGCATGATGAAGCCATCAGCTAGCAATGAATGAAATTAGATGCAGAGCTGGAAGTGTTCTTCAAGCATCCTGCTAGTACAGCAGATTTTGACCTGGCATCGCTGCGCAGCACCTTGAAATATCCAGAGCTGCCCAAGGCTTGTTCTACGATTTTCTGTTTCATTACATGGGATATGAAAATAACTAAATCATTTAGTTATTTAACAGGCATCCCAAAACTACCTCCACTACACAATATTTCTGACACCACACCAGCATGTTAGTACTCTGACTCTTTATTTACTGCACACTAAAAATTGCCAGGTGTGCCAGAAGCACAGGACTGGATCACTGTAAATATAATAACTTTAGGGACCACTCTGGGGAACAGGGGTCTTTGTAATTTCTTCTCCCCAAACTAACAGCGCAAAACCGTCAAATTCACATTCTTCCTCAGACATAATTACAGACCAAGTCCCGATCCTTTGTATTTCAATGCTAAATTACAGATGCCATTGGTGAAGGAATGTATGCATTATCATAGCCATTGGTGAAGGAATGTATGCATTGCTCCTAGCTGCAGCATGGCACCGGTTTGCAAAGCTCACACAGATCTTATGTCCCCTTTCAACTTGGCTGCTTAAGTAAAACATAGTTTTTTCAACAACAGCCTCAGAACACACTCTAACCTGTTCTGAAGTATGAAGCATCCAACTACGGAAACAACACACGCTTTGTCGTATTAGCTCTAGAAATTAAATATACTTGGTTAGAAAAATCACTTTCTGTGAAGATTCTTTTCTGCTTTTTGTTAGGCAATTTAGTACCTCACTTGATGCTTTTACAGTTTCCCTGCTCCCTTAAATTGTATTTACACAAACAAAATTAATAGATTCAATGTCATGTTTACAGGAATACTTGATAATGTGCAAGCATGCAAGAAAAAGTAAAACTGCCTCCGTTCCTCTTTGCTGTGATTTAGATGAGTAGGCAACAAAAAGAAATAAATAAGATTCACAGGCGTTACAAGCTGTTAAAAACCAGATTGTGTCTTTTACTATATCTTTAGAGCAGCAGTGCTATATTGTCCGCTAGAGGGTATTTCTTCATTCTTTCTCTGTCTTTGCGATGATTCTGAAAAAGTTCCAAATAATGCCTTTTCTATCTATCTGTAGATAAAACTACACAAGCTAATAGATCTTGTAGCTGGTTAAGATTTTTATTTTGCTGAGCCCCAGCGCAGCAGTGGGGAGGCATGTGTACAGAAGAGCCCGGCACCTCTACAGAAGAGCCTCCACCTTATCACATGGACGAGGTGCCCATGCCCTGTGAACTGCTGCTGGATGGGCTAAGAGAAGGGTATATCTCCTGTACGCCCCCAGCTTGGTACCCCTGCACCTGAATGCATCTGCTCCCACTTCTGCCCAGCCACTGGGAGGCATGGTGGGCAGCCTTGCTTTTTCCCTGCCCTTTGGGTCACGGGGAAAATGACACCCGCTGCCTGCAGGACGCACTCCCATCTCATGGGCTGACCAAAACCCTGGCAGCCATGTTCCCAGGGAGGAGAATGGGCTGTGAGTGTAGCTCACCTGTACCGTCCTCACCGTGCTGGTGCCTCCCCCCAGTCCAAGTCTAGGTGACAGCTCTCCTTTGTTGCAGACTACAGCCTGGCAGCCTCGGTGGCCAGCTTGCCTCGTCCTCCAGATGGCTCTGGGGCCAGCCACGCTGCACAGGGACAAGCTCCCACGGCCAGCAGTAGCCAAGCTGGCGCGGTAGCTCGGGCAAGCTGGACTGGAGCACAGTTAACAAACTCAAGTTCCCAAAACAGCAGCACCGTCCGAGCACCGTGCCACCCCCACAGGCACAAGCCCGCCTCGGGGAGAGCTCATTAGCGTGGGCAAGGAGCCACAGGCTGCGGTTACACAAAGTCCGGCTGCGGAGATAACGGGAGCTATACATAGCCATACTAGGAACTGCAATCACTGTCGTGATAGCTCCAACATACCACCAGCTCCTTAACCAATCAGCAGCAGAACACCACTTTTTAAAAACCAGTTTGCTAAAAAACTAGATGCCTATCAGGCAGTCCTTCCTGCTTTCTCCAACCTCTACTTTCAAGGGAGACTTTACACCATCTGAACACTCTGGTGACCCACAGGATGCCTGTGGTATGATTTACATGCCCCCGTGAAGGCAAAGGTAAATCACTCCTTTGAAAATGTCCACTTTGAGCAAGGATACCCCACGAGAAACGACCGTCCGACTGAGCAGTGCTTGACATTCGCTCTGCTGTTTTGCAGCATTTAGAATTAGCTCCCGTGCGCAAAGGGAACAAAGATCAGTGTACACAGCAGTCCAAATCCCAGCCTAATTACAATCATAAGATTTGCATAGCAAACAACAGTAATTTATCCCAGAGTAAAACTGTATTGTTCCGTTAGCCTTGCTCAGCTTTCACGTAGCGGAACGCTGCAAACATACCTTGTGGACATTTTCTGCCTAAGATACATTGCACGTGCAGTATTGCCAGTCTTGGTTCTTCTTACACAAAGGCACACGAGGATTTCCTGCCCTGTGGTTTGCTCTGTAGCACTCCTTGCTGGAAAAGCTTGAAAACCTTGTTCTACAGTATAATTTATTTGGCAAAAATTCAAAGTACTCAATTAGCAAACAGTTAATCCCAAGTTATTTTCCCATTATTGTGGGCCGCTGCCACACATTTCTTCTGTAAAAAATATTTATGAAAGAAGCTTTACATG